ATGCATAGACCATTCAAGAGGAATGTCTGGAACTCCAGTCACATTCCTTCACACTCAGCTATAACCCCTGCTTATTTTTTACAACTAGAAATTACGAGAATCTCCCTTCCTGGCACTGGAACCTTGGGCTGGGAGCCTTGTATGGGATTGGAACCCCTATCTCCACAGAGGGAAACCTCTGCAGCCAAATTATGCCTCTGTATTTTTAACGACCACATGTGGTATGGGACCAGCCCATTCTACCCTCCACCCCTCTTATAAGTCTCAGCATGGCTTTTTCTGTATATCCTTAGTTTATTGGACTTCTGTTAAGTTATACTTAAGGAGGCTTTCGATGATGGTTGTTCTGTAGTTTAGTTGTAATTTTGAAGTGGTTGTGGGAGTAGGCAAATATAGCTTTTACCTACTCTGCAATCTTGATCAGGGCTTCCATTAATTTTTTATTTGCCTGAAGATAATGATTATATCAACACAAGTTCTACCATCATAATTACAGGTTTTTTAATATATATGAGAGCATCCTATATAATAAAACCCTAATATGCAAATTAACCAAATGGCAGAATGTCCCGTCACTATGATGCACACTGACCACTAAGAGCAGACATTCAATGCAGGAGCTGCCCCCTGGTGGTCAGTGGGCCCCCACAGGGTGAGTGCTGCTCAGCCAGAAGCCTGGCTGACAGCTGGTGAGCACAGTAGTGGTGGCAGGAACCTCTCCCGCCTCTGCTACAGGTGGGCAGTGAGGAGTGAAGGGTCCTGGATTGTGAGAGACTCGGACTGCAAGAGGGATGTCTGACTGCGGCTTAGACCCAATCCCCAAGGGATCCCAGTCTGCGAGAGGGCACAGGCTGGGCTGAGGAACCCCATCCTCTGCCCCCTTGTCCCCCAAGTGCACAAATTTCATGTACTGAGCCTCTAGTTTTGATATAATCTTTTGATATTTCCTAATGTGGGCACCTAGATTTCCTATGTGAAGACATGGGAAGAGGCTGATTTGGTTCCCAGTTAGGTAAGCTTACCATAGACACTAAAGAAACAAAGCCTTAGTCTGTTTGTATGTATCAGAAGATAATGGATCAAGATCAGTGTGTTCTCCAAATTTTGCATGCATCAAGATCAACTGAAGGAGTTGTTAAAAACACAGATTTCTGAGTCCCATCCTTGTACCTCTGATTCAGACACTGTACTTCCAACTAGTCCCCAGGTGATGTGGTCCTGGTATTACAGTTTGAGAATCACTTTTGTTGATAGTTACTTGAAAGGAAAGGAAAGCCATTTAGTTTTGATGATGTGTAGTCATGGGTCCCTGGATTGATATGCTGCCTACTAGTCAGATAAGGGATCTTTTAAATATCATTATATGTAAGGACTAGGTTAGAAAATAAAAGATATATTAATTTTCCACAATATTTCTCACTCATTTTAAAAATAAAATATTTTTATTTTTAACTATAATAAAATGTTGTTAGAAACCAACCATAAATTTTTCTCTGATTAATAGAAATTAATAGGGGTAAGGGATGCAGCACATATCTTCTTCAGAAGCATTTCTTAAACTTCAATATATGTTTATGAATTACCTAGGGATCTTTCAGTTGGTGTGATGATGATCTGCTGGTGTGTGTTTCTTAGCATCTTGAAGGATTCAGGAATCTGGAAAAGGGTCTGCATGTAAATTAATCAAGAGTCCAGAGACGAAACATAATTTTGGAAGGTATTTTGGCGAGCCAGAGAAAACTTAGCTAAAGGAACCAAGTTCTCCTGAATCTCCGCACCCTTTGCTCTTTATTAACACAAATTGTCCTAAGGCAAGGTAGATACACACACCAAAGGCCAAGGTTTGGTATACAGTAGGATTGTCAGATTGGGGGAAACTGCCTTCAGCTGTTACAAGCATTTGGCCAGCAGGAGGCAATAACATGTAGATTGAAATGTCTTCAGCTGTCTGGCAGTAAGCAATCATTTATGTTTGGGGAAATGCCCTCAGCCATTCCAGATGATTTAGCACTGCTGACAAACTGGAATTAGCTACTGGCAGTGAACCCCAAGATTCTGAATTTCTATCAAGCTTCCAGATGATGTCATTGTTGCTGGTCCATCAATCACACTTCAAGTAGCTCTATACACATTTTTGAGGTTTTAGCAAGATATCCTAGCATCTAGAGACCTTAGAGACCACTGGAATCTCCTAGCATGTCTCTGTCATAGAAACAGTCAAGTTTTGGAACATACTAATCTGTATCCTGAACTGTTGGCTTTACAATAAAAACTGTAGGGAACCTATATCAGCAAAAAGGAATAACTATAGGGAGCCTACATCCGCAAAACATCCCTGGAGCCTTCTGGAACGTGGTGGAAACTTTTGAAATCTGATCATTTATCACTACTCTTAATGCTTATCTCATAAACACATCTTCAGTTCTTCCCAAAGGCCTTCCTGGCTCTTGTGATGGAAATTCCAGGAAAACTACTGACTTTTGTTGTTCCTTTTAAATGAAGCTTAGCTTTATTTCAATTTTTGTGGCTCTCAAGACCAATATTATAGAAGAATGTATAATTCCTATTAGAGTATATAAAAATAGAGTATAAGAAGCCTTTTATCTCTATTTAATCTGGTCCTTATTGGGGGGGGGCGTCAGATAAAATGAAATTTTATTGATTACCTTTCGGAGAAGAGGCGGTGTGAATACAATCTTTTCTACAATGTGTAGGAAAAGTAGAAAAACTTTTATCCAAATCACTAAATATAATTTTGGATCCCCAAGTTGCTGCCTTAGAATCCATCATATAGTAGGCAGTGGCTTGCATCTTGCACAAATGACTTTAATTGCCTCAATAAACTGACTCCCAGAGTACATTCAGCCTTAAAATAATGCTGTTCTTGCTAACTAATGGTGACTATGGAAAAGGTAGCCAATCTTGCCCTAGCTGGTTTGGCTCAGGAGTTAGTGTCAACCTCTAGACAGAAGGGTTCTGGGTTTGATGGTCAAGGGCAGATGCCCGGGTTGCAGGCTCCAACCCAGTGTGGGGCATGAAGTGCAGGAGGCAGCTAACCAATGAGTCTCTCTCATCATTGATATTTCTCTTTTTCCTTTCCCTTCCTCTCTAAAATCAATAATAAAAAAAAAAAAAAGTAAGCCAATTTCACCCTGGCCAGGTGGTTCCATTGACTGGAGCATCTCCTTTATATCAAAAGGTTATGGGTTTGATTTCTGGTCAGGACAAATACCTAGGATGTGGGTTCGACCTCTGGTTGGTACGTACAGGAGTCAAGGGGTTGATGTTTCTCTCTCACATTGATGCTTCTTTCTCGCCCCATTCCTCTCTCTATAAATTAAATAAAAAACATATCCTTGGGTGAGGATTTTAAAAGCTTAGCCTAAGAAATAGCACTGGGTTATGTACATCAATAAGAAGCCTTCATTATCCATAACTCCTCACTCTCTTAAACCTCTTACTCCACCTTCTTCATGACATTATGAGTACTGCCAGCAGTGACCGGGATTATCGAACAGTGTCAATAGTGAAACATATAATTTGAAATTAAGGCAATTTCTGGAAAATTAACTCCTAATAGTCAATCGAAAGGAAACACTTTACTTGGCTTCCATGGCTCTCTACTGTCTTTCTCTTTTATTTGATTCTCCTTTTCTTTCCAACTCTTCATGTGGGACTCCTCCAGGTTTCAGTCCTTCACCCTCTTCTCCTTTTCAGTTCTCTAGCTACACTCACTATAATGGTTTGAAACACTACCTACGTGCTGATGACTCCCAAATTTTGATCTCTAGTCTATACCTATTTCTCTCTCTCTCTCTCTCTCTCTCTCTCTCTCTCTCTCACTCACTGCAGAATCATACATCCCAATTGAGTACTTGAAAACAAGAATCACGACTAAGTGTCTCAAACTTAACATTTCCAGAACTGAAATCTTTATTTTACTCTTCAAATTTGCCCCAATGGTAGTCTCTCACATTTTAACTGATGTAACTCCATCCTTCCGTTCAAAAGTCTTGGAGTCATCCTGACTCTTCTCTTTCTTTCATGTCCGTCATTCAATTATCAGGAACTTTCAAAAGAATCTGACCATTTCTCACCATCTCCATTGGCACTACCCTGGTTCAAGACACTGTCATTTCTTCCCTCCTTTCATTTTTCTCTCCCCTGAAGTCTTTTCTCAAAAGGAGAGTCTGAGCGATGCCTTTAAAATTTTAGTCAGGGCATGTTATTCTTTTTTCTCAAATCTTCCAAGAGATTTGCATGTCACATAAAATAAAGACCAAAGTCAGAAAACCCTACACAATCTATCACTCTTAACCCCTTCCTCCCCTCCTTTTTTTTTCCCATTTGACTCCTGGCCTCCATGGTTCTTCCGAAATACGCCAGCCTTACCACTATGCGTCTTGCAACAGTGTGTGTTTTCTTTGCCTGGACAGCTTTTCTCAGGTTTGCAGCTCTTCCCCCAGATAACTCCATAGTTTACCCCATTGTTTCCTTCAAATCTTTGCTCTTGCCATCAACCAAAATCTTCGCACCTGGGGTCCACGCTCCAGTCGAGCTGCGTTCCCGGCCAGAGACTATGATTTCCTATTTAAAAACTGCAACAAGCCCTTCTATCCTTCATCTTCTTAATCCTGTCCTATTTTCTTTCACACCGTGTATTACTTACTTTACAGCTCACCACAATATCTGTAAACTCATTTTAAATCTCTCTAGTAGAAGGTGAATTCTCTACCGAAAAGATTGTGTTTTAATGTTTTGAGGGCTTGAACATAGAAAACTTTCAATAAAGAATTCCACGAGTTCATTATTCCACTGTCCATACAGCTTGGCAACCCCATTAATTTTTCCTAAATCTAAATTTCAACACTTTCTTAAAAGTTTAAAGCTCCCGGGCATTCTATTATTTTTGAGACCTTTCCGCCCCGGAAGTAAAAACCTAAGAGGGTCGGAGGCGGAAGCTACTTCCGCTTCCGTGCAGACGCCAAGGAGCAAACACCATGGAGAAGACCGGCGGCAGCCTAAAGAAAGGCCTGAAGCGCAAGAGGGCTGCCGAGGAACCTCAGGAGGCTGCAGTCGTTGAGGATGGGGCGACGGACAGCGGGGGCCAAGCCCCGAAAGCGGCTGCCTTCCCTCCAGGTTTCAGCATCTCGGAGATTAAGAACAAACAGCGGCGACACTTAATGTTCACGCGGTGGAAGCAGCAGCAGCGGAAGGTAGGCGAGGGGCGGAGGCGGCAGGGCGCATGCGCAGTGCCCTTTGCGCGCCGGAGCCGGCGGCGTGGGTGGGCGTGGTCTCCCAGGCTGGGATCCTCCCCTCCCCCACCCCCCCAGCTGTGATTGACCCGGGGGCTTGTTTCCTTCATCTTCTGTCCCGATCCACTCGTCTTGCTTTTAGCCGGAGCGGCCCGGCTTCCCTTTCTTACCAGCTCCTTCCTTGCTAGGGTTCGTGGCTGAGAATGAAAGCAAGAAACTCTGCTCTCCCACCAGGGAAAATGACTCCCTCCTGCCCTGGGAGGCAAAAGTCTCCCTCTCCTCTGGGTCCCCACCTCCGGTTGGTTAATACCTAAAATCTAATGCAGGCAATAAATTCAAAGCGATGCTTCTCTGATTGCTGCAGCAACTCTTACTGAAATTAGTACTTGTAAAGTTTCTAGTAATTTTATTACTTTTTTATTTTGACATTTCCTTTTGTTTCTTAAATATTTATTGTTGGAAGTATTACATATGTCCCCTTCCATCACCCCCCCCCCCCCCCACACACACACACACACACACACACCCTGCCCTCTTCTAGCCCGCCCTCCTCACCCCACCTCATCCAGGCTTTCACTATCCTATTGCCATACAAGTTCTTTGATTTTTTTTTTTCCCACAGACCCACCCTCCCCTGGCTTCCCTCTGAGATTCGACTGTCTATTCCATGCTTCTATGTCTCTGGATATATTTTGTTCATCAGTTTATTTTATTCATTAGATTCCACATAAGAGTCAAATCATTTGATACTTGTCTTTCTCTGACTGGCTTATTTCCATTAGCATCATCTTCTCCAGGTCTCTCCATACAGCTTTATCTTCATATTGTTCTGTGAGGTAAACAAGTATGGGGAGATAAGCAAATAAAACCTAAGATCACAGTGCTCATTTATGGTTAAATTTCAGTTGAAAGCAAGCGTTTGCTTATTCTTGCACATCATAAAAGCTCACACACATAGTATTCTTTTTATATGCCTACCTCCTCTTACTAGATTTTTTTAAGCCCTGGACTGAGTCTTAAGTGCTAACATGCTATTAGGGTACATAGAAGGAGCATCTAAACCATTGTGGTGTGGGAGAAGGGTATTCTAGAAGACTTTTGAGACCTGTTAGATTGAGGGTTAATAAATGCTGGGGGGAAGGGGGAAATATTTTCTATTGTGAGTAAAGAATTCTGTTCAGAAATCTCCAAAAGATACACATTCGCAATACAAACAACTTGCCAATACTTAATAAGTTTAAAAGCATATTTTGATTATAAAATATATGGATAGCTAATGATACTTTTATTGGAAGCAACCTGGAAACAAATCCCCCATTTCCATTTATTTTTAGTACTTTCCTAGAAAAACAACCAGCATACCATGTTTTTCTATAGGATGCAACTTGTTAGAAATGCAGGGAGGAAAAAACAGCAAACATTTTTTGAGTATACATTGTACATTTTCACATAATTTGAGATTTTATAGTAAAAGATAAAGTTGGTGAAATTTTAAATATTCAAAGTTGGTCAACTTAGATTTTGTTTTTTAAGAAGCAAAATTATTGTTACAGAAATCATACTGATTGTTCAGCTCACTTGTTTTACAGTAACTTAGATATGAAAATCTATGTCAACATTTTAATTTTAATAAATTAGGAAGATTACTCAGTGTAAGTATTCTTAGCATTAGGAATTTCAGTGTAGTTTCAGTGTGTTTGTGATCTAACCAATGATCTCATTCTTCTTTCCTTAAATCCTTTAGGAAAAGTTGGCAACTAAGAAAAAACTTAAAAAAGAGAGAGAGGCTCTTGGTGACAAGGTAAAGAAAATTTGTAGCCATCTGTTTTTCTATCTTAAGAAGGAATGCTTCTTGATATTTATGTTGAATAACTTTCTTTTAAAATTTATTATGAAATATTTCAAATGTATAAAACAATATAGCAAACTACTTTTTATCCTTTACTCAGCTTAAGAAATAATGCATTAGCAAATAATATTCCAAGTCCCTTATGTGTTTGATTGCTTTTTCGCCAGAGGTAACCACTCAACGAAATTGCTCTTTATTGTTCCCATGCACTTCTTTATTACTTTCACTATGTATGTTTATGTTCCCAAACACAATGGTGATGTTTTGAGTGTTTTTAAAATGTTAACATAAATATTATGCATATTTTGACTTGCTTATGTTACTTTATGTGTTTGAGAAGGAGAACCATACACATCTCCTTGACTTTGGGAATGGGGGAAGCTCCCTAATTTAGAGCTGGAGATCTTGAGATTTGAGAGCTGTCACATGATAGGAATCTGTGAAGAGTGAAAAGGGGGAATGGAAGGAAGATGATATACCTGGATGGGTTCTAGCAAAGAAGAGAGCAGAGATACTGCATCAAGAAGCATTTGGCTATTTTTTGTGATATTGATCACAAGTGAAATCGTTGTATTGAAATTTTTAAAAAGAATTACTAAATACTTCCACAGCTAAGTTATTTTCATTTGGTTTCATTTCATTTATAGTTTGTTCTAGGTTATATTTTATACCTGCAAATTTTTAAAAATGTGCAACTCTTCTCCCTTCCCATCTCTTAAGATGAGGTAATAAGATAAGTATTTTTGAAGAAGGGAAAAATGTAAAGGCTGAAACATTCTCCCTTTTCATGCATTATTATTAATATTATTAGGTTAAATAACATGAAATTGCCAATATTAGACTCTTCTGACCTGCAAAATTCTATCAATCAATATAGTCTCTTTTTAGCTCTCAATAATCATTTACAGCAAGTTAATTTGCTGATCACCATTTGAAAATATCATCGTCCTGGTTTTTTTTTGTACTGAAAGATGACTTCTTAGAACTGCCTCCTTCACAAAATGATTTAAAATTTAATATTTGCTTCATAGAATAATAAAAATAAAATCTTATATGGGTCATCAACTCATGCTTCTATCTCTGCTAGTATACATATACTTTGAATTCATTTTAGTGTATGTTTACAGTTCTGTATTCCTGATCCATACCATTTCGTTTACACAGTTTTTTATCTAAGCTGAGTATGCATGATTGCTGATTCTAATGGTATTCCATTTACATTGTTGGACCTTTGTCCTATCTATTCGGTGTTAATTTCTATTAATGATAGTGATACTATATCTTTCTTTGTGTAAATTGCTCCCCCCTTTCATTCCTTACCGTAATCCCCATTCTAGAATTACTAGTTCAGCAAATAAATTTGTAGCTTTTGTTATATATTTCTGAATAGCTTTTTTGCAATATTGGGATTTGTCTACATGTATATGTACTTTTGTATTTTTTTTTTTTCATTTTGTTTGATAACTTTTATTTTTAGTGGGTAGTTATTTTGACCATTATTTTTCTCCCTGCTACTTCTGTCTGATTTTAAGCTATTTCATTCAATATTGGCAATTCTTTTAGTACATGTGTGTTTCTGTTCAGAGAATTAAAAAGCCTTTTACTCAATATTGTTGTTAGGATTGATGTAGCAGTGGGTTGAAATGAGAAACAGATTGTGTTTTGGATTGTTTATAAATTTCTGTTATTCTTCCCAACTGTAATGAAAAATTATTTATGTAAAAATGCTTCTACAACTTAATCTTTTTTTTATTTAGGTTTCACTAAAGCCTTAATCTTTTTTTCTTTTATTTAGGCTCCACCAAAGCCTATACCCAAGACCATTGACAACCAGCGAGTATATGATGAAACCACAGTAGACCCTAATGATGAAGAGGTAATATTAAAAGTATTAAAATAATTAAGGATAATATTTTATGGTATTTTTTGTGACCTTATAAAACCTCTTGGTTTTAAAAAAATCTACTTTTCACATTTTTCCTTTAAAAATTTTGTTGTATAATTAGAGAATCAAGGTTTTTAAAATGTATATATTTTTAAATTTTTGTTATGTTTGCTTTTAAACTGCTTTTTATCATAGTTCTTTTACATGTCTCCTCTTATAGTCATTCATTCAGTCAGTCTTCCACCACATGTTTTATTTTTTTCCTACTATGTATTGGGATCAATCAATGCAAACACTCTCATACATATACACACAAAATTTCTGCCCATCCAGAACTTATATTCCAGGAGGAGAGACAAACAGTGAACATAATAAAATAAGTAAATTGTGATATGTTAGCAAATTGATAGGTTACTAGAGTTAACAAATAGGGTAAAGGAAATTCAGGACTAACTGGAGTAGAATTTGCAATTTTATAAATATAGGAGTTTGTATATGTGCATACATTTTATTTATTTGTTACATAATTTCAGACTTAATACGAAAAGTAAGAGTTTGTATATTTCCTTCATCCAGATTTTCTAAATATTAAATTGTACCATACTTGGCTTTCATTGATATTCTTTCTTAAATGCTTGAGAGTAAGTGGCAGACATGAAGCCTCTTGCTCCTAAATACTTTTAGAATGTTTTACCTAATAACCAAGTATATTTTAATAAGACAGCATAGAGTTATGAAAATCAGACAATTAATATTGATATACAATATTATCTAATTTGTACAGCTTATCCAAATGTTAGCAATTGTCCCAATGATGTCATTTTCAGCAAAAGAAAAATACAAGCTCATGCATTTTATTCTATTACTAGAGGCCTGATGCATGAAATTCATGCCTGGGGGGAGGGGAGTTGTCCTTAGACCACGTTGTCCCTCAGCCCAGCCTATACCCTCTCCACTCTGGAACATCCCTCTCACAGTCCAGGACTGCTGGCTCCCAACCACTTGCCTGCCTGCCTGCCTGCCTGATTGCCCCTAAACTGACTCTTCAGGGATTTCCCTGTGTTTGTGTGGCTTAATGGTCAGCCAATCATTTGGGCAGAAGCTGAGACACCTTGAGCCATTAAAACAGACATAGCTTCTGCAACTAAGCAGTGCTGGGTTGAGGAATGTTTCAGAGTTGTAGCCAGTTCTCAAGTCTCCTTTGCCTATCATGTAGCTGGATATCACTCAGGTCTCTTCAGATCTGTGGAGATTTTGTGTCTGTCCTCTATGGCTCTTTCACTTCCAGAACTCCCCTTTAAATGTATTGCTTCTTTAAATTCCCACACCATTCCTAAGGTGGACCTGTAATCTTGGACTGGCAAAGCTAGGGTTTTCACAGACATACCCTAAATTGAGCCCACCACCTCTAGATTCAAGAATTCTGGTTCTTGCCTACCATCAAACCTAAGGTTCCTCTTTTACTGACCAAGTTGATGAGGGAAAGAATAGCTCTAGGAAGATTCCTGATACTACTGTAGCAATTTTTCAAGGATAAACAGCCCAGCCTGCATCTTCTCCAATCCAGGACATCCCTCTCATAATCCTGGATCACTGGCTCCTAATTGCTCACCTGCCTGCCTGTTCACCCCTAACTGCCTCCCCGCCCCAAACCAGCCTGATCACCCCTCACTGCCTCTGCATACTGGCCTGATCGCCCCTAACTGCCCCCCCCTGCCAGCCTAATTGCCCCTAACTGCCCCCCTGCCAGCCTGGTCACCACCAACTGCACCTCCCCACACACATTGACCTGGTTTCCCCTAACTGATCTCCCCCCTTCTCCCCATCACCCTGATCACCCCTCATCTCATGGTCCCCCCACCAGCCTGGTTGCCCCACACAGCCTGCTTGTTCATCATTTGTTTGTCCCTAACCCCTTTACCAGTCTGGTCATAGGCAGCCATCTTGTGAGGGTGTGAGGGTTAATTTGTATATTACTTCTTTATTATGTAGGATTCTACAAAGAGAAAATCCCCAATTTCTCCATATTGCTGTTACTGTAAGTCCCTTCTAGGCCTTTAAATACCCCATCAGCTAGGTAGTTGCTGTCATAGAATCCTAGAACTATTAAAATTTTGGCCCAGGAGAGTATTTGATGTAAAATTTACTTGTTTTTCTGTTCTTAGGTTGCTTATGATGAAGCTACAGATGAATTTGCTTCTTATTTCAACAGACAAACTTCTCCCAAGATTCTCATTACAACATCAGATAGACCTCATGGGGTAAGAAATACATTAATTAGTATAGTTATTGAATTCCTAATTTTCTTTTATTACTTTGACTTTATTACTTTATTTAAAGGAATTCTGTTCAGAAGAATTAGAGATTGCCTGATGCCTATGAATAAGCTAAATAAAATGTAATATTGTTAATACAGTGTAGGTTTTCTAAGCCTGATTCTTCAGGGTAAGGTTTTTCAACCTCTGCATTGTTAACATTTGGGGATGTATAATTTTTTGTTATGGGGGTTGTCCTGCTCATTAGAGGATGTTTAGTTGCATCCTTATCCTCTATCCACTTGCAGTGCCAGCCATCCTCAACCCCCAGTCATAATCACCAAAAATGTTCCCAGACATTGCCAAAGGTTCCCTGGTGGAACAGAATCACCCCCAATTGAGAACCACTGCTTTAGGATGATCAGCCTTTGGTAAAAGATGGAACTGTTCAGATTTCACTCTTGTTCTAATGTTAGTCTCTATTATAACATCGTCTTATAATAATCATTATGCTTTTTCTGATAAATATATGCCACATAAGATTTTTATTTTTATTCATTTTTGAGGATTTTTGTTATTTGTTTTACAGAGAACAGTACGACTCTGTGAACAGCTTTCCACAGTTATACCAAACTCACATGTTTACTACAGAAGAGGACTGGCTCTGAAAAGAATTATTCCACAGTGCGTCTCAAGAGATTTCACAGATCTGATAGTTATTAATGAAGATCGTAAAACTCCAAGTATCCTTTGTTTTTTAAGGAAGGGCTTCTATTTTGCATGGTTGATGTTAGATTTTAGCAGTAACAAACTTTTTGTACAGGAATTAATAAGTTTGTAGTTTGCTTCTGACACAAATAACAGTAAGAATGTTCCAGAAAAGATTCAAGCCCTGATTTAATTTGCAAGAAATGAATTACCTCTTAACCCCTTATAAGATTTTATTTTTTTATTGTGCAAATGATACAGAAATACTTTTGACTGTGCATCATGAAGTTGAACCTGTGGTGAATCTTTGAAAAGAATTTAAACATTTACTGATAATCTGCTATGTGGTAGGCACTAGTATCTATCAGAAACAGATCTTTCAAGAGCTGATGGATTAGATGAGAAGGAATTTACATGACTGTAACTCAATTAAGTGACTAGTGCTACAGTAAGTAACAGTGAGAACTGAGATTTAGATCTTAATTTTGATTATGTAAAATGAAGTGGCATTTGAATTGGGCGTTATTGGATGAGTAAACTATTGAAGCTATTTGAAATAGCATGAGTTAAAGAAAAAATGTGTATGGTGTGTAAGAGATTGTATCGCTGCCTATCAGGAAACACCATGAGGACACAGGTTAGAAATATAGCTTGGAACCACATTGAATGTCAGACTAATGTTTAATTCTGTAGATGAGGCTGATGAGAGTGGCTTGAAATTAGCTGTAGCTGTCAAGAATCAAGGAATCTAGTTTGTTTTTTTCATTTAGCATCGAGGAACTGGTGCAAATAGTGACATAGCTAAGCCCCATTACAGTCTGTAGTAGAAGATGTACTTAAACTGTTGGAGAGGTCAGACCAATCAGGCTACTGTTTTAATAATCTAGGTGGGAAATCTCAAAGACATCAACTAAGAGAATAACAGTAAGGGAGAGATGTAGAAGTGAGGAACTTAGGTAAACAGTAGGATCTAGTGGGATACGAGGAAATTTAAGATAACCATAGCTTCTACTCCGGATGAATGGGAGTGTTGATCCCATTATAATAAAGAGGACAGTATGCTTTGTAAAACTAATATTACGTACACATATTTGAAAGCAATCTGATTCTCATCATCTTTTAAGGTTCATCATTTCAAAGAGTCAGGTTGTGCTGTAACAGGAATATTGTGTAGGTAGTATAATATGCTGCATCCATGACTTTTAAAGCCCTTGGGCTGTTAATCCTGCTAGGTAGGTATCTTCTATTTCATTTGTAGTTTAGAGCACTATTAATTCTCTGTTCATGGCAGACAATTAGTAAATGGCTATTAATAACTTTAATTTGTGGTATAGTAATCCCAAGAATAAGAGCTTGTTTCTATAAGAAGAGAATTTAGGATTTTGTGGGATAAATTCAGAGCTGGCAGCATATCCTAACCTAAAAGTGCATTTTTAGGGTTATAAGGCCTCTAACGTGGAGGTAAACTTATATTCTATTTACAGTGCTATAGTTACTCTAGAATCCATTCCTCTCATTATTCCTGCTATAGTGGACTTTAGTTGGTTCATATACTTCAGTTGAATACTCAAAACACCCTGAAGGGCTGATAAGGTATTTATCAAATTGTAAAAAGAGAAAAGGTAGAACAATAGGTTAATCAGTTTTTCTGAAAGATTTATGTTGATTTACCTGTCTTGATATTGAGGCAGGGTAAGAAAATCTTCGTTAATCCAGAGGAATGCATACACCCACCTATTCGCCTAGTTACAGATTTTAGGAGCCTTTGAGGATCAATTATTTAAACAATTCAAGATTTAGATTTGAGTTCAGTATGTTCTTAGCTTTGTGAACAGATGGATTAATTCTGAGTCACTTGCCAAATGGACCAACTGCTCATTTTAAAATGAGCAGTGTTCGTCTGCGTAAAGAAATTAAGGTAAGTTTTAGGCGTTCCTCGATTGGCATTGGTCCCCTCCTAGTTTTTGCTTTTAAGCACACTAACTTAAACAGCTGCTTGATTTTAATGATTGCATTTGCTCTCCTGATTCAAGCAATAGTTTTATCTCCTGGCAGGTTTCTTGTGAGACTGTCACAATTGAGTTATGGCAAACAGGCAATAGCTTTCATTACTGTGAAATGTTAACTTTCCCAGAATTTCTATTTTGGTGCCTTTACAGCTTATAAAATACTTTTAGATACATCTTACTTCATGGGTGTAGTAAGCCATCTGTGGTTGTCATTGAGACAAATTTCTCATATTTGTCATGGAAATTATAAAACTTAAAATTGCAATGATACAGTTTTGCTAATAAACTTATGGTTTTTCTAGAGAAAAGGCAAGGACCCCACAGAACATGTACCTGAAATAATTCTGAATAATTTTACAACACGGCTGGGTCATTCTATTGGACGAATGTTTGCATCTCTATTTCCCCATAATCCTCAGTTTATTGGAAGACAGGTTGCCACATTCCACAACCAACGCGATTATATCTTCTTCCGATTTCACAGGTGAGGAAGGTACCTTAACTCCTTGGACTTTTAATCATGAAATACCTTTTCAAGATAAACCTGTTTCCTAATGTGTTTTGACAGGTATTATAGATGAGAAATATATTCTTTTCAACCATCATAAACGTTAAAGAAGAAACAGTTGGGTTAATGCAGACTAATTTCCTCAACTTTTTTCTTTACCTTTAAAGATACATATTCAGGAGTGAAAAGAAAGTGGGAATTCAAGAACTTGGACCACGTTTTACCTTGAAATTAAGATCTCTTCAGAAAGGAACCTTTGATTCTAAATATGGTGAATATGAATGGGTCCATAAGGTATGTGCTTACTCTTTCAAAACCATTTCGATGATTTTAACCAAGCTTAGGGTTCTATCTCAAGTTATGCTTCTGAATGTCTTCCCTCATTGGGTCTGGTGATTAATCCTGGTTCATTTTAAGTATCCTAAATATTAATGGTTCTCAAAGTAGGACCAGAAGCATCACCTGGAAACTTTTAAGATGAAAAATTATTGGGCCATAGATTTACTAAATTGGACCCAGCAACCTATTCATAAGCTTGTTACCCTGATTCGGGTGCATGCTTGAGAACTATTTTCTATCTAGTAAGTACTATTTCTCTTAAGTGTGATTTTTACTTTAAAATTGTATATGTTTAACACACATCTATTGGAACTGTAATTTCAACACTTTATATTAAACCTGAAGACTGATACTTCAGTGAGTTTTTAGCAATTGTTACCCACAGATTGTGTGCTAACTTTGTTTACCCCCTAACTTTCAGCCCCGGGAAATGGATACAAATAGAAGAAAATTCCATTTATAAAATACCGAAGGAACAATATTGGATTTTGCAGAACAGGCCTATCTTAAATTTGTAACAGGACTCTTCAAAATGGCATTTACTGATTTCATAAACCTCTCGTGTCTGGACAAATTACCAAGTGCCACGAATTACCACTCACCATTTCTGTAGGAAATACAAATAAATTTTGGTTTATGTTGCAGTTTAATTTCCTGAAATTTTTATTTTTAATAACTGAATAATTTAAGTTGGAATCAAGACTCAATCTAGCGAAAACCGGTTTGGCTCAGTGGATAGAGCGTCGGACTGCAGACTGAAATGTCCCAGGTTTAATTCCAGTCAAGGGCATATATCTTGGTTGCAGGCACATCCCCAGTAGGTGTGTGCAGGAGGCGGCTGATCAATGATTCTCTCAACTCTATTCTTCTCCCTTCCTCTGTAAAAATATCAATAAAAAATATATTTAAAAAAAGAATCTAACTTTCCAAAATGTACTTTTTAAAAAAAATATTTATGCTGAAAGTATTACATGTCCTTTTTCCCCATTGACCCCTTCTAGACCTCCTCCGCTCCTCTACCATGTACACTTTCATGGTACACGTGGGCTATAGGAAAATACAGTGCTCAGTAGATATATTGTAACCAGCCCACTGGTTTTCTACTAGACTCTTGGATCTGGCAGTGTTTTTAACAAATTTTTCTGAATGATTGGAGACCACGTGTCTGGGATGTTTTAACATTTCCTTAAATCTTTCCGAAGGATTAAAATTTTTTAAGCAAAATGGTTTACCAAGGACCTAAAGCAAAATTGCAAATTATTGAAGCCAATCTTTGGTTCCTTTCTTCTTGCTACGTTATACATAATTATTCTGTACTGTAGTACTCCAGAAATTGTCTCAAGCTCTGAAGCTCTCAAGTTTTCCTTTTATCTTCTAATGGAATTCTTACATCCACTATTTTCTCTACTGTCCTTATTGAGAGAGAGGAGATAAACAACTTAGGTGCAGTGGTAATAAACCCACAAAGGAGTTTATTAGAAATATTTATTACTAAAACAAAGCTAGCCCTGTAAATAACTCATGAGTACAAACTAGTATTAGAAACTTCTGACCCTTAAAAGTAGTATGCAACTTACCTTACTTTTCTAGCAGTTTTGCAAATGTATGGCATAAAGTTATATGCGAAGAGTTGGTGGAACAAATGCTAAAAACAACCCATAATGATAATGGGAAAATTTCCATTTAATTTAGGTGTTCAAAACTAATATATACTGTATTATCAATAATTAGGCAAAAATACTTTTTTATACTAAGAATTTTATTTGTATGCTGCTGCCAGTGTATATAAAATAATCATTCTTGTGAAATAGAAATTTATGAAAATTCAGAGAGGTAGATGTTAAGGACTGACAAAAGCAGAAGTTTGTATAGTATGGCACATGTTATAGGATAGCTTTTTGTACAGGCTTCAGATTTAGCTCTCTTTGAATATTCTCCGGTTTAAGAAAAGTGGTTTAGAACACCTGAAATGGGAAGAAGAAAAAAGAGTTAGGGTAAAGTGTCAAAGAATAATCAATGGATTAACAACAGCACTGCATTTTGTATTATTTTCATAGCATTCATCTGAATGTTAGTTTATAAAGTACTTTCAATTAAACTAAACCTAGTTTAAAAAAAAGACATCACAGGGTTTCTGGAGAAAAACAGGATAGGAAATGACTGGTGTAAAATATAACTTTCTCTTAATTTTCAAAAACACTCTGAAGTATACATCATTTACAGTTTATAATCAGGCTTAAAAATTAACTTGCTAAGATCATTGCTAAAATACACTCTATCTTAATTTAAAATGAACAAGTTTTGAGGAGAGCAGTTTGGTAATATCTACTAAGGTAGAAGGTGCAACCACACTTCTCTTTACCCAACTAAACCTATATACAAAGAGAAACATGTACATGGATATATTTATAGTGATATTTTAAGAGCAAAGAACCGGAAAAAGCCTAAACTCAAGAGGACTGCATAAACTAAGGTTCATACACAATGGATACTAGACAGCCAATTAAATGACTAAATAATCTACATGGAGATAAACCAAGAACTATATGTAGTAAAAATAAAAACATGGGCACACCAATTTCAAGATGTTATCTATGTGGAATGGTAGGAAAAATACATTTCTTTTTTTAAAATAACTAATTCAGGATAGACACAAGTTCATCTTTATACTTGGAAATTTGATATATTCCATGGCGAAAATGTTCAAGAGGCATAAACAATCAATGGTGAAAAAACAAAGTGTTTAACTTAATTGAATCAGTGCTAATTACAAAAAGATAGTCAGAAAATAGCAAATAGGCTGGCAAGGGCTCAGATCAAGTTCCAGGTGAAAGACAAATTTTAATAAAAAGACTAATAAAATTTAAATGTCATTCCTTATTGAATAATTTTACTTCTAGAAATGTACCTTAAATAGAGAGGTAAAGTATATATAAGTATATAGATACCAACATATTCCCTTCAGGGTAGCTTCAAATTTGGAAACTTCAATATTCAATGAAGTATAATTAAGTTACAGTACAACCATTGAACATCTCATTTACAAATATTTAATAAAATAAAATTTGTATTTTTAAACAAACTACATACCATGATCCTCATTTTATTTTTTGATTGATTTTGGAAAGAAGGGGGGAGAGAAACATTAATTTTTGTCCCATTTATTTATGTATTCATTTTTATTCTTGTATATGTCCTGGCTGGGGATTGAACCACCACCTCTGGTGTATTGGGACAAATAATTTTTTTTTCTCTCTTAAAAGGAAATATTTTAACAATGATTATTTTTAGGTATACTGACCATGATAATTTGTATATTCCTTAGACCAGCTATTGATAAATTACCTATGCTGTTGTTTTTTTAAATGCTATGAGTATAAAGTTTCAATTGTGAATTCTCTGTACTCATGTCACTCACTGTGGGCCTAAGACCACTGGCAGTATGTACTAGTATAACCCAGAAGCTTGTAAAACAAACAAACACACACAGATTGTAGGACCTCACTCCAGACCCACTAAAATAGAATTTTCATTTTAACCACGTGATTTATAGGTATGTCAAATTTGACAAGAAATGTTTTCACATCATTTTTCCTAGCCAAAAATGTTTCAAATCATAATACCCACAAGGCTGTTTCGTTATGCTGCCAGGATTAATAACCATTATCTTACTTTGAAACCTGAGTTATTATCCCAGCCATATTTAAACACTTGTCTGTAGACTCCTGTGAAATGTAGGCTTAATAACTGCCAGTTAAGAGCCAGCCTTCTTAACAGTACTTTGTATCATATGAAAATAAGATATTTTGTAAGTAAATAAGAACAGAAATTTAAAAGGATCTTTAAATAAACCATAAAAATATGTAATTGCAAAAACTGCCATGAAGAATTAATATTGCCAGAGAAGCAAGGTACTGCTTAATAGGAGCTAGACTGTTGAAAAGACTTACTTCGGTATGGAAAACTATCATTCAAAGGTGCTTTCCCCAAGCTTCCCCCCTTAACCCCCCCCCCCCCAACCCTGGTGTTTCCAAAAATCTTAGCCAATCACTGTATTTACTGGAAACATGTTATACTTATACAGACTTCCTGGATACTCCCAAATCTACAAAGCTTAATTAGGGAGGGCACAACTATGCAACATGGTATTTTGGGAAGCAGCTTCCTGGACTTTGAGGAGTTAGACTGTTTGTAAAGGGCGTGTGCCATACAGAGGGGTGTGTGTGTGAGTGTGTGTGTGTGTGTTTAAGCACTATTAATTTAAGGTTGCTCCTCATGGGTCAATACTAGTGAGTACACACCCTGACTAAAGCACTAGCATCCTTTGGTTACATTTAAAATGTAACCACAGCATATTTTGGTCACATCTCTTTTTTACTAACATGGTTTTGCACACATTGACATTTGGTCTGGAAGGCACAGATTAAAATTTAGAAGTTAGCTTTCTCAATTGTCTCATTTTCTCTTGTATTCACGACTCCCAATTCTTTGCTATGTTGCCCTATAACTGAATTCTTTTAGAGTAAAAGCACCAGAATCAATCCAAATCAATTGGTAGTACTTTAAAAGTCATCCCAATAAACATTGTATAAAGTTTAAAAATTAAATATTTGCTACATACACAAAAATTAGGCGAGTGTTTGGGACACCCTTGGGGCAATGCTATAAAAAGTAACAGGGCATGTCAATGTGATTTTTCTAGTAACTCTCCTATATCCTCTTGTATGGTTATTAAATCATCCCTTTTTATGGTAAAATAGAAACAATTAGTCTTCATGATTACTAAATCAGGAAATTTCACCAGCCCTCACTTTCCTCACAAAAAGAGACTAGAAACTTGCAATGCCAAATGAAAGTGCATAGAAGCAAACAAAAAGACTTATAACTGGTTATTCCAGCTTTGTGCAGTTTTGTTGTTTTACTCTAAGGAAACTTACCTTCAAAATTCATTTTACTACAAAAAGGAACAAACTTTCTGGGGTCTGAAGGGATTGGTACTTGAAGATACTCCAGTCAGCAGGGGGTCATGTTGAGCATTCTGCAGACAGAATTGTTTCAAATCTGCAGCTGCCTGGGAAACCTGTAGGTACAAAGTGGGAGGGAATGGGAGATGATTAAGAATGTTTTCAGAAAAAGTTTTCTCAAATCTTTCAAAATGCCTGCAATAAACATTTCTCTTAACTCAAAAGATATATAGTAATTGGAGGTTATCAGTCACATACTGAGCTCTTAAAGCAGGGAAGTAAATAAGACTAGTTTGTTTCATTTTGCTTAGAAGCATTACCAAATGATTTAGTACAAACAGTACAATTACATTTATCTGTAAAGTATAGCACATCTTGCTAGTTTATTAATAAGCAGGTTACTCAAGTGCAACCTTGAGGAGAAGCAGCATCTTTTTATTAAAAAGCAGTACCCACGCCAGGACCGGTTTGGCTCAATGGATAGAGCGTGGGCTTGGGGACTGAAGGGTCCTGGGTTTCATTCCAGACAAGGGCATGTACCTTGGCTGCGGGCAGATCCCCAGTAGGGGGTCTGCAAGAGGCAGCTGATCGATGACTCTCTCTCATCGATGTTTCTAACTCTCTATCTCTCTCCCTTCCTCTCTGTACAAAATCAATAAAATATATTTTTTTAAAGTGAATTTTCTAAGACTCATAAAAGGAAGTGTTTTAAAAAATAATAATAATAAAATAAAATAAAAAGCAATACCCAAAGCAGTACACATAAGAGTTTACACAAAAAGCATTGAAATTCTAGCAAACTATTACTTCACCTTGAAAGCAGTATTACTGGAAAAAGCTAGCACTGTAAATGAACATAAAGCTCTAAATCTAAACCATTCAATTCATTGTTTTGGTATCATGTTTCACCAGCTGTTTAATGTTACAAAACTGGACAGTGACAGCTTTCTGCTCAGTGTCAGGTGACTGAAAAGCTGATAGCAAACTTCACTTAATTTTAACAACTTCACTGAGCAGCTTACCTGTAAGAAACTGTCTTTGCCTTAAAAGTCATTTTACTGTTGTTGTTAATCCTCACCCAAGGAAAAATAGCCACTGATTTTTAGAGAAAGTGGAAAGGAGGGTGAGAGAGAGATAAATATCTATGTGAGAGAGAAACATCAACTGGTTACCTTCCGCATGTGCCCCATCCAGGCCCGGGGGAACAAGCCTTCAACATGCCTTGACCATAATCAAACCCAGAACCCTTCAGTCCACAGGCCCCATGCTCTATCTGCTGAGCCAAACTGGCTAGGGCCTTAAATGTGATTTAGTAATTTTCATATATATACAATGCCACCCAAATAGGACTTAAAGAAATTGTATGGCTTTACATTTTACTTTGTTTATAAGATATATCATTTAAACATCTATCTGTACATAATTTGGTAAGGTGAAGCAGGATACAAAAACAATGAACTGAATGGTTCAGGTGTAGAATATGGATCACTAAAAGATGCCCCAAATGAATAAAATATCCTAAGTCTTGAACTGAAGTTTAGGAAGATGTGAAAGATAATCATTTATTCTCAGTTTTAACTATCCTCAAGGAGGGTGCGTGCAATAGTCCAAGTCCAGTCCAGCTGGGGTATTTGGCCTTTGAAAAGAAGGTTAGGAACATCACAGATGCTCTCTATACCAAGAAAGCCTGCAGAATATTGCTCTACCTGATAAAAGTAAAATAAAAGTACATTAACTTGAAAAAATGATCCATCATCCTGAGCCGAATCTAAACTCCACTCTCAAAATCTATTTGTATGTTTGGCTTATACAACAGTCTAGTCGCAGTGTTTCCCAAACTTTTGACATATGTGTACACCTATAATTTTCGTAAGGCTGAGTACCCCTCGTACTCATGAGAACGTAGAATTAGGCGCAGCTAAGCACTATGTATTCGATAGTGCATATCCCCACCAAACTCTGGTGCAACGTGTACCCCCACCAAACTCTTCCCGTACCCCTGGGGGTACACGTACCACACTTTGGGAAACACTGGCTAGGGTAATGAGTTCCATAGGTTTATTTAGCAACTGTGTAAAATAGTAGTTTTAAAATACCTGGTACCAAGTACTTTGATAAATGACCACTCTGCTCCCTCCAAAAAGGAGGTAGGTATAGAGCTAAAGTGTTATTTTTCACAGTCTTGTAACTTGACTTCATTCTTATCGACTAGCAACAAAAATACAGTAAAGTATCTGTTAATTTTTTGCCTAAGGTGTAGTAAGCTCCAACTTAACTCCCTTTCACAAACTTCTCAAGCACCAATATGTGCCAAATATACTTCTAGGCATTGAGAATACATAAAAGCCACCAGGTCCCTGCGGTTATGGAGCTGACAGTTCAGAGAAAAAGACAGATAAGGTGCTCTAAAGGAAAAAAAAAAAAAAAAAAAAAAAACAAGAGCGGTTTGTTAGACTGTGACATTCAGAAAGGTGTCTCTGAGGAGGTGACATTTAAACAGAATTCAATGCCCCAAAATCCAGCCAAATGATCACCAGTGTGAAACTGATCAGTGAGAATTCCAAGGAGTGGGGAAAACAGGCAAAAATTCTAAAGAACTCACAAGCTGCTAGCTGCTGTGGCACTGTAATAATCACCAACCAGGAGACTGAAATCCCATAATCCTGGCATAATTACTAGTGCCCTCTTTCACTCCCAAAGGCGTCCTGGGTTGGTAATCAAGTGTATGGTCACCCTACATACGGGAGAATTTCTCAAGCATTTGTGACAATTTCTATCAACTGTATTCAAAAAAAGGTTTAAACAGTACACTTGTGCTAGCTTAAAAATATCACTGGTAAAAAGAAAGCATCTAGCATAGGCATGGATAAAAAAGATGCACAAAATGAAATCAAACTGACCATATTTTGCATCTAAAGAAAAGCTCATTTCAAGTCTCAAGGTTGGCAGGTAATAATTTAATAAAAATAAATAAATAAATAAATAAATAAATAAAAACAAATACCCCCCCCCCAAAAAAAATAAAGTCTCAAGGTTGGAATGTCACCCTCCTTCTGCCCAGCCCTACCATCAGACAGATTGAGAAGTCTAAAACCAAGTCACTTGGAGGTGGCTTTAATGATTTGGACCAGAAGCCTCCTAAAGAATTATAGGATGCAGGCATCAAGCTGGGGAGTTATTGAAGCAGCCAAGGTTTTCATAATAAAGCCCTGGAGTTCTTTAGTCTGAGGACTTCATATCATTTTCTTTGGAGACTCGGGCTTAAGTACCAGTACTTAACACATCTTTCAATCGGTATTTTTTTTTTCCTTTCCCGGGACATTCCAATGTATATAATAAGGGCACACCTGACTGTCCACAAATACCACTGGTAAGGTTAAGAATCTGGAGATTAGAGAAATGAATTCCAGACAGCAACCGAGTCCACAGCACTTACAGGACAGGGAGGGGAATCCCACACCAAGACTGATGGGAATTCCCCTTCCCTCCTGAGGCGAACACAACTAAGTTAGGTTCCTGACATTTCTACTTAAGGAAATAGGCAGGTGGGAGACCATCTTACTCCACAAAACATCTCTGGGAGAAGCAGAGGCCAACCCGATGAATACAGAATCAAATCGTCTTGGAAAATGGCTGCTGCTTTGGATAACGTGAATGATTCCTTATTCTACTCTCGTTTCTTCTTTTAATGACATCTTTCACATGTAAGATGATCTGTACCAGAAAGAAGTCAATCCACTTGGGATTTTAAAAATCTGGAGGAACTTGGAACAGCACTTGAATGTCAGGTTGTAACACAGCAACACATACAAAAGCCCCCTCCCTCCCCCAACCCCCGCCCCCCCCCAGCCCCAAAATAAAACAGCCGAAGACAAGGTCAATGCTAACCAAATGCCAAACTAGGTTAAGACTGGCCCACCCTCTTCACTTTCCACAGGCTCGCGGACCTGGAGACAGCCCCAAGGTCAGATCGCCGCCAACTGTGTGCCAAATGGGTATGAAATGCTCGCCTGGCGCGAGGCTGGTTATCCAGGGCACCGGTGGTGACCCTACACCCCGCGGACGATTCAAAAACACACACATAGTCACTCTAAGGTGACCAGACGTCCCGATTTTTAACAAAGTTGTCCCGCGGCGTTTAAAAAAAAAAAAAGTCCCTTTGTTTGGAAAGATTCAAGTTCTGCAAGAATTCGTCCTCAAGTTGGGTGGACGAGAGGAGCTGGAGCTTAAGAATCTTTCCGCTAAAGGGAGTGGGTTTGGAAAAGGTCTGACACCAAAACAAAAAAGACGCCGGTTCTCAGTCGGATAAAGCCCCGCGGGGCGCCGAGAGGCGGAGGGGCTGGGAGAGGGCGGGAAGGGTGCGGGCCGCGCGGAGGAGCAGCCGCGGGCCCGGCGGCGGAGTCACCGCGCCGGGAGGGGGGAGGGGGGGAGAGGGGGAGGGGGAGGGGGGAGGGGAGAGAGGAGGGGGGAGGGGGGGTAGGAAGAGGGAGGGTCAGAATGCGGAACGCCGCGGCGCAGCCTGGCCGCCGGCCCGCCCGCCTCGGGGAACCTCTGAGGGCGGAAGGGCGCGCTAACCTGACCCCCAACCCCAGCGCCCACTCCGGCCGCCAAGTCTCTAACGCTCGCAGCGCCCGGGTCGCCCACGGCGGCCGGCGCGGGCCCTCCGCCCGTCCGCCCGGCCAGCTCGGCGGGCGCTCCCACCGCCACGTCCGCCTTCCCCTCCCCCTCGGCCGCCCGCCCCCCCCCCCTCACCTTCACACGGTTGAGCCCGGCCTCCAGCCGGAGCTGCTGAACCACTTTCTTCATCGCGGTGACGCTGGAGGAACCAGACATGGTGCGCGCGAGAGCCGGGCAGACGGGTCGGAAGCGGGTGGCGGGTCGCGGGTCCGCGGGGGCCAGACGGCGGGGCAGCGACGCGAGGGGCGGAGCTCGGAACTTTGTCTCCGAGTTTCCGGTTCTTCGCCCAGCGGCTCCGCCCTCGGCGCGCATGCGCGCCTCCTCCGTCGGCAGTTTCGGTGACACGCCCGGTGGGAGGCGAGAGCTGGAAGGCGGAGGCGGAGCGTGAGGGGCGTAGGGCGTGGCGGTGGGCGTGGCAACCTCAAAACGCGAGCGCGGATTGGCTCAGCGTCTCCTCTCGGCTCCCGGGAGGCGGAGTTGGGAGGTAGAAAAGCCGGGGAGACCCGAGAGGCACTCAGAAAGGGACCGCGGAGTGGAAGCCGGACGCTGGAGGGGGATTGTCGCAGGCCTGGCGGCGGGGTGGCCCGGAGGTTCCAGTTTTCCCGACGGAGTTGGCGGCAGAGGTTGAGGGAAGGAGAAGGGAGAGCCCTGCCGAGGTGTGGGAACTAGGACTACCCGCTTTCTCACTGTCGCCCCCTCCCCACAGGGGCCTCTGAGGGAGCCGAGCGTGTCCTGTGGGCGCCCCGTCCGCAGCCCGCTTCCCGCCGCGAGACCTCCAGGCCGAGAGGGCGCGGCGGGCGCGGTAACCGACCGCGGGAGCCGCCGGGCGGCGGGCAGTCGGGGCGCCGGTTCCCGGGAGAAAACGGGATCTTCTCAAGGTTCGGCTTCTGTTGCCTCTTACCTCTTGGTTTTCTGGAAGAGGCTGTGAAAAAGCCAAGGTGCTGGTTGAATATTTACACTTGTCTCCTCTCGTGATCTATTTCATTTTTTAAAAGATGTAAAATAAGCTTATTTTACTTAAAAACAAAACAAAACAAAACAAAAAAAAACACCAAAAAACTATTTTTTGTGTTTCGGGAAAATTTGCTCTTTTTTTTTTTTCTTCTTAATATTTCAGTAACTTATCGACCTTGATCTTCAAAGTGGTTTTCTATCTACATATACCTATACAGATATATCTATATCCATATGTATGTTCTTGTTGATTTCAAAGAGGAAAGGGGAGAGAGAAACACCAATGATTAGAATCATTGATGGGCTGCCCCCTGCATGCCCCGCACTGGGGATGGAGCCCACCAACTGAACAGGTGCCCTGGTCCATAATCCAACCATGATTTCCTGATTCATAGGTCAAGGCTCAACCACTGAGCCAGGCACTGTTTCCTATTCTGTTGGAACAGCCCATTAACGAGTATTTCAAATTTTTTGTATAGTGAAAAATCCCATATATAACTTGTTCTATGTCCACGAGTCCTAACTCGTTTACTGAATAACTTAAATAATTTTACAAAAATGTCCAGTTTTACTTAAGCATTGTACTTAATTCATACAATGGATGTAATGACTAGGATTATAAACCAGAGTTTGAATTCAGGCTTATCTAGCCTTGGTATCCCTGGGCAAGCCGCTCAAACTTTGCTGAGATTTTGTTTCCTCATTTCAAAATGAAATAAACTCCCCAGAGCTGTTTGTGAGAATGAAATGAAATTATACACATTAAGACTATGACAAGTTATCTCAATATCACTTCTCCCTCTTTCCCAGTAGCATTTTAAATTATTTCACTTTTGGTGACTTGCTGACTGACTTCATTCATACTTGACAAATTTGGAAGATTAAAAATATATATCTTTACTCAAAGAATGAAACATGAATGGTTTTATAGAACTAGAAATCTTCTTTGGCTCCCAATCCATTTAATTATTTTGTGTGAGAGTCCACTATATTGGTATATTTAAATATAGCCCATTTCAGGTTTCCAATTTTAGTATTTATTTAGGATTTTCTAAAGTTCACCAAGCATCTCTTTTGTATACTCTAATCAAATCAGACAGGAAATAAAAATCACCAGAGTATCAGAAATTCTTAAGCTTCCCTGAAGATTCCACTAAAAAACTACTAGAACTACTATAATTCAGTGAAGTAAATATAAAATAAATATCCAGAAATCACTTGCATTTTTATACACCAATAATGAACTATCACAAGGGAAAACTTAAAACAATCCCATTTACAATTCCATTAAAAGGAATACCTAGGAATAAATCTAAGGATATAAAAAAAAATCTGTACTCAAAATTATAAAGCACTGAAGAAAAGTTGAAGATACAATTAAGTGGAATTATATACAATGTTCATGGATAGGAAAATGTCTATACTACACAAAGCAATCTATAGAGTCAATGAAATTTCTATCAAGATACCAATGGTGTATTTCACAAAACTAGAATAAATATTCCAAAAATTTATATGGAACTACAAAAGACTGAATAACCATAGCAGTCTTAAGAAAGAACAAAGTTGGAGGAATCACATTACTTAATATCAAACTATACTACAAGCATAGTACTGGCAGAAAAACACACAAGATGCGCCCCCCCCCAATAAGTGTACACAAACAATAATTATAAAGGCAGTGTTTATTAAAATACATTTCATTTTCAAAATGTAATAGAATCTACAGATAAAGTATGTAGATCAATGAAATAATAGAGAGCCTAGAAATAAACACACCTTTATGGTCAATTAATATTTGACAAAGGAGGCAAAAACTTACAATGAGGTAAAAATAATCTATTCAATAGATTGTGTTGGGAAAATCAGACTGATACAAAAAGATTAAATTAAACCACCTTCTTACACCATACACAAAAATAAACTCAAAATGGATTAAAACCTTAAATGTTAGAGTCAAAATAAAAATTCTATAAGAAAACAGGCTGTAAAACAGACATTTTTCATAGCAATATTTTTTCTGATATATATCCTTTGGCAAAGGAAACAAAAAATAAATGGAACTGCATCAAACTAAAAAGTTTTTGCACAACAAAGGAAACCATCAACAAAACAAAAAGACAACCTATCGAGTGGGAGAACATATTCACCATTGATACATCTGATAAGGGGTTAATATCCAAAATTTATAAAGAACTTCTAAAACTCAACACCAAAAAATCATTCAGTCCAATTAAAAAATGGGTAAAGGGCCCAATTGGTGTAGCTCAGTGGTTGAATGTCAACCTATGAACCAGGAGGTGATGGTTCGATTCCTGGTCAGGACACATGCCCAGAATGCATGTTTGATCCCCAGTAGGACGTATGCAGGAGGTAGCTGATCAATGATTCTCTCTCATTGATATTTCTGGAGGTAGCTAATCAATGATTCTCATTGATTTTTCTGTCTCCTCTCCCTTCATCTCTGAAATCAATAAAATTATATTTTTTTAAATGGGCCAAGGACCTGAATAGACATTTCTCCAAAGAGGACGTACAGATGGACAATAGACATATGAAAAGATGTTCAATGTCATTAATCATCAGAAAAATTAGAATTAAAACTACCATGAGATATCACCTCACACCTATCAGGGAGGCTATCATCAACAAATCATCAAACAAGTGTTTGAGAGGATGTAAAGAAAAGCGAACCATCATGCACTGTTACTGAGAAGGAAGATTGGTGCAACCACTGTGGAAAACATAGTTACCTCAATAAATTAAAAATAGAACTGCCTTCTGACGCAGTGATTTCACTACTGAGAATATATCTGAAGAAACCTGAAACACTAATTGGAAAGAATATATGCACTTCTATATTCATTGTAGTGTTATTTACAATAACTAAAACTTAGAAGCAACCCCACTGTCCATCAGTAGATGAGTGGATAAAAGAGCTTTGTATATTTGCACAATGGAATACTACTTGACTGTAACAAAAGAAGTCAATCTTACCATTTGTGACAGAAAGGATGGACCCCGAAAGCATTATGCTAAGAGAAATAGACCATTTAGGAAAAGACAAGTAATGTATGATTCCACTTATATGTGGAATCTAATGAACAAACAAAATAGAAACAGACTCATAAAGAACAGACTGACAGCTGTCAGAGGGGGGAGAGGTTGCTGAGATTTAGTATACGAAATAAAGCCAACATTTCATTCCTGGCAGAGAGTGGTTATAAAGCAAAATTATACAGTAAATGAGAGATTAGAACTCTATAGCCCTAAATACTTGACTATCCAGCTATCAATCTTCTTTTGTTTGAATTGTCATTGTTTTGTTAATTAGCTAATTAATAGGTAAGGAATTTGAAAATACCAAAGTTAATGTGGTAGGAGTTAGTAAGTGAGATGTGATTTGGTTAGGATCAACTACGAATTCTAAGCATGCCTAAAGAGGTTAATGAAGACTTAAGTTACTTCAAGCAATGAAGAGATTATTGTAAAAATCAACATAGAGCAGTAGTAAAATTGATTATAGCCAAACTGGGAATAGATGTAAGGCTAGAGACCTCAACAGGAAAAAATTTGACTCTTCTTTCTAGTGCTCAGCTATAAACATGAATTACTTAGGTATCTCATCAGTTACCTTCTCACAGCCAGTTAGTCATTCTGTCTACTCTTTATCTCTTTTCTATCTTTGTTTACAAATAATTGTAGCTTTCTCATAACATGGGCTTACCCCATGGCTATGCTACTACTTCATGACTTCCCCTCCCTTCCCCTTCCTTCCTTCCATTTTGTTGTTTTGTTTTGTTTTTTTGTTTTTTAAATATATTTTATTGATTTTTTTACAGAGAGGAAGAGAGAGGGATAGAGAGTTAGAAACATCGATGAGAAAGAATCATCAATTACCTGCATCTTGCACACCCCCTACTGGAGTTCGCAACGAAGATACATGCCCTTGACCGGAATCGAACCAGGGACCTTTCAGTTCCCAGGCCCACACTCTATCCACTGAGCCAAACCGGTTTCAGCCCTTCTTTCCATTTTGATTCCGTGTCTACTAACTACACACTTTAATCCTGAGTTCTCTCAATTCTAATTCCTAAAGGCTCATCTCATGCCAGGCCATTTTATTTGTCTATGGCCAGCCAGGATTTGGTCTTAGTATTGATCCAATCAGAAATGGTAAAGACAATTATAATTCAAAGTATGGCTTCTTTGCTATAGTATAGTGGGGCAGTTTACCTTAGGACAATAGTAAAGCAGGCTTGATTGATCTGTGCTGTGTTTGCTTAATTAAAATTTTCTTTTAAATTAAAATATCAAGTGTTTAATGTATCCACAGGAGTTAAAAATTCTGGCCTCCC